AGTTTTGCGAAGAAGTTGGGTATCCATGTCTTGTGCGGCCTTCATACGTCCTAAGTGGAGCTGCAATGAACGTCGCCTATTCGAATCAAGATCTCGAGTCATATTTGAAAAGTGCAAGTGAAGTCAGTAAAGAGCACCCTGTGGTAATATCGAAATTTATTCTTGAAGCAAAAGAAATCGATGTTGACGCTGTAGCTTATGATGGGATTATATTATGCATGGCGGTATCTGAACATGTAGAAAACGCTGGTGTTCATTCGGGCGATGCAACGTTAGTAACACCACCACAAGACATCAACTCACAAACTTTAGCAAAAATAAAAAGTATTTCAAAAGCAGTAGCAGCATCTTTGGGAGTCACTGGTCCTTTTAACATGCAGCTGATTGCGAAGGTAGATATAATCTTATTTTTATGTGTGTTGGAAAAATTGATTAAATAAATATAATGTATGTATGTAATTCTAATATTTATATTATCTTTTTTAAATATAACAAAAATTTTATATCGTTCGCTCAATTTTATAATTACATATTATTTCTATATTTCTGTTGCTTACAGTAAAAATATTAATGCTTATAAATTAATAGATTTTATTATATTTTGTGTTTAACAAAAAGTGATTATTAATAACGTCTTTTGTATAGGATAACGAGTTAAAAGTAATTGAGTGTAATGTAAGAGTATCCAGATCTTTTCCTTTCGTCTCAAAAACCTTGGATTATGATTTCGTCGCAACAGCAACACGATTAATTATTGGCGAAACTTTTGAATCTGTGGATGTTTTAGCTGGTTGTGGGAAAGTTGGTGTGAAAGTACCACAATTTTCGTTCTCCCGTCTTGCCGGTAAAAACTAATTTTATATGCAATTTATGACAATTTATTTATTGTTTAAGTAACAACATTATATGCTATGTCCAAGTTTCTTAATTATTTAATATCTATTTTTTAATTTTTTTATATAATAAATCTTGTTTTTTTCTTTATGCGTAATTAATTTTGCTTATATATTATTTTCTCAATAGATTTGTTTATTTGATTTGTTTATTTTTAGTATATTATTTAAATTTAAATTATAAAGAAGCATTTTTAAATAAATATATATATAACTGGATCGATATAGTTATACAGACAATAAAAAGAATCACGGGCAAACATGATCGGACAAGATCTTGAGTGTTTATTTTTTAAATTTATTTATTGAATTTAATCAAATAAATTTAATAAATCATTTCTAAAAAAAATTAATTTCTAAAATAAATTTTCATTCATAATTATAGGTCGTTTATGGTCTAAAAACATAGCAACAGAATGCTATGTCTAATCTTCACAATAATATTTTAATAATAATATTTTCTGGCTGATAATGTTTTTCGCAATAAAAATTTCTTACGGGTTTTTAATTATAATTTAAATTTAAATAATTTATTGAGATACAAATCAGATAAACAAATTTATTGAGAAAGATACAAGCAAAATTAATAAAGAAAGAAGCAGCGTTTATTATTATAGAATATTATATAAAAAATTAAAAAATAAAGATATTAAATGATTAAGAAACTTGAATATAAAAAATAATGTTGTTACTTAAATAATTAAATGCAGTTACGGATGCAAATCCGTTTAGAAGTGATTTATTAAATTTATTTAAATTCAAAACAGGCGTTAAAGATTCCCTGTTCATATGTTCGCAAAAAAATTTTGCTTAAAATTTAAATAAAATATTGTTAGGCGTTATTAATTTGTTTACAATGTAATTTAAAAAATTATCTAAATTTACTGTCGTCTTATTGATTTTATTAAAGGCGCTGATGTCACATTGGGAGTCGAGATGTTGTCGACCGGCGAAGTAGCTTGTTTTGGCGAGAATCGTTACGAAGCTTACCTGAAAGGCATGATAAGCACTGGTTTTCATATTCCTCAAAGAGGCATTTTGCTCTCTGTAGGAAGTTTTAAGGTAATTGTATTGTGGAAGAATTTTTTTTATATAAATAATTCTATTAATTATATACTGTTTTAATATCTTACAAAAAATAGAATATATTTATTTTAAGAATTAAAAATCTATAATATTGATTTCTCATATTATTTATAATATAAGGATGTCATTACTTATAAAAAAGCAAGTGTCTAAAATCTTTAAAAAATTAAATATTTCATTAAAAATATATATATTTTTTTTAGCATAAAATGGAATTGTTAGGATCTATCAGAAATTTGAAGAACATGGGATACAAATTGTATGCCAGCATGGGAACTGCCGATTTTTATACCGAGCATGGCGTCGAGGTAAGTGAAAAATTTTTGACTTTACTTTAATTTTTTGATTGTTTTATATCATTCTGAATATAATATTTAATTATCACTTGCATGATCACGTACATGGAAAGAATCATACACATGCGTTATATTTTCAAAATTGATTAAAGGAAATAGAGATATTTAGAGAATTGTGTTCGTACGGCTAAACTTGTTAAATTTTTTTACAATTTGAATTATGATATGATGAAATATATAAATGTAACATGATTTTAGATATGATATGAATATTTCATTAAAGAGATATATCACATGATAAAATAAAAGATTTAATATACTCGGATAGATACAAAAATAATGAGATTAATGATAAGAAAATAATAAAAGATAGAATTATGAAATTATTAGGGATGTATATAAGTTTCAGGCAAGAGTAGATATTTAAAGAAATGTGCATTATAGATATAAAAATTAACTGACTTCTTTAAATTAAAATATTTTTTAATAAAGATTCTTTTCTGAAACACGTAATCTAATAACGTAATTTACTAGTCTAAGTACATTGATAATGTATTATGATGAAATTGCTATTTTAC